TCATCGACATGTAGCTAAACTATCTTCACAGATAATTTCATTTGCAAACAGATCAAGGCTGCTTGTATTTCTGTTCCTCAACTGCATCCTCACCACTGATTTCCATCTTTTGGCATCCACGGAAACATAAAAGGTGGCGTTATTACCCAAATATACCAGTGCATAGATTTAAAAAGTAGTGCAGGTTGATTCCAAATTATACTGTTATCATGTCAATGCGCACATTTTTACTCACATTGATGTGTGCTATACTATAGTTAATAAACTGTATTGCAACATTGTGTTGATCATTACCCAAGAACAGGCTGAAAACGTGGGTAGTGCATATGCAGAACAGCCACGAGTCTGGATCGAGATAACAGTCTCTGCAGTGTGTGAGGTACGGTTGAGATGCACATGTAATGCAGACAGGAGCGAGCTCTACACACATGCGTAATTTCAGTCATTTTCAGAATACATTTTATGCAACAAGAAGCTAAATATTCCAACATGGCATGAAACAAACTGGATTAAACCTCTTTAGACTCACTATGTTTTAGATGCAAGCGTGACTCATACTGAGGGAGCCAAACTTGGAAACTCGTCAGCTTCTTTCTGACACTGACGAGAAGCAAAGAAACCATTTTATCTGAAAAGCCTGCAAGAGTGAAACCCCCCAAAGACTCGCTTTATTTTTTCATCTCTCACTGGTTCTGCCACACGTTCTCAAGCTTTCCTGCTCATCCCCCCTCCCTCCTCTCTCCTGCAGCTTCTATTTGATGAACAGATTTTCGTCTTCCTGCTTGCAGGACCGAGATAAAAATGTGCTCACCGCAGCCCTAAACCCTCCCCAAAACCGGTATTGAAAATAGTCCCATCACAAGAAGCTTTCGTTTTCTAAACAGTTAGCAGACGGTACGATATAAAAAGCTGCACGTCCACACACACACACCATTGGCTGCAAATGAACCTGAAAGCGACGGTGGCATCGTGAGAGTAGAATCTGCTCTAAGCGTGACTCATTTGACTCCGAGGTGGAGTTGACTTGTATTAAGCCAGAGATCATCACCTTTAAAAATAAGATGGTTGAAAACGCTGCTTGTGAGCTTAAACACAAAAGGGGAAGAATACACTGTGCCGTCGTTATAGCAGGTTTAAATGAAATACAAACACTTTCGAGGTATTATAACCTATTATAGCATGTGCTGAGTTACATCACATAGTGAGAATGACTAATGGATTGCAGATTAAATGAAGAAAGTTTTTAAAAAAAGCTAGGGACCCTGCTGGGTTTTACCCTTCATGCCCCCGTGCTTCACTTCTTTTTAAAATGGCCCCCATTATTAATGCAGCACGCAGGGCATCGATGTCCTTGAGCGAGGGAGAGAGATGTATTCTGTCAGAGAAAAGTGTGATTATGCTTGTGTGAAATAAATTACTCTGTGATGCATGTGAAAAGGTGAAACGGAGTTTGCATGTGTGTACTTCGCACTGAAGTCGCAGTTAACTTCAGGGTATTCTGCCTTTCATGAGCCGTTTTTCTCAGCAGTGTCTACAATAAAGAAATGCATCTTCCTCCTCCACTAAAACGAGGATTTGCTGTTGCTCATACAGCAGACGCCATAGTCCTCAACTCCAGACTGAAGCTGCACAGATAATTAGCAATTAGAGACACATTGGGCTAAAAGGTCGATGCAGCATTTTAGATTCACATCTAAAACATTTTGATGTTAGTGTGGTTTTGGATTTTCAAACAATCACTCCATAAGTGATGTATACAGGCCTGCTTGTGTGGGTATATCATCTATTTGATGTTCCTGAACTTAATTTTTATATAACTTAATATGCAGTAACATCTGTTATAGTATATCATTGCTGAAAAAAATCAACTATTTGATATGAATTGTTAATCTGTCATTTTGATCTTATTTTTCAATAAACTGAATAATAAGGTGCTCGAGGCCTCAAGGTGCTTTACGTTGTTAGTTACAGACCCTCAAATCATAGAGAGAAAACCCCAACAATCAAACGACCCCCTGTAAACGAGCACTTGACCACAGTGGAGGGAACATCCATCAAATCCCCAAATTTATTTTCCAGTCATATAACACCACAAGAACCAGTAAATGTTACTGGGACACCCCAACCAGAGATTTTTTGGGGGCATATTTGCTTAAAAATGGTCTAAAGTTGATCTGGGAACTTTTATTCACTGATTAGCCAGAGTATGGAAAATCAATCAATTGTGAATAACACAGGTAATCAGTTCAGGCTTCCTGACTTCACTTTAACATGCATCACGGACCAAGCACTGACCTGCAACTCACAGGACTCAAATCATCTCCTCCTGCAGCCCCGTGCCAGACGCCACAGGACAACACTACAGGTTCTGCATCCGTGTCCTGATAGGTCAGAGGTGTTTTAGTGGCACTACAGGGACTTACACAATATCAGGCATATGATTTTAATGCTGTGGCTTATTGCCTCTAGCCTGCACTGAGACGTGGCAATGATAAAACAATTGAAGTAAAAAAACAAAGCAGGTATGGATATAGATTGTTTATTACTGCTTTCTGACCATTATGAATCTCCGATTCTAACACTTCATGCATTGACGACGTCTTCTCATGTTGTGTGACTGTCTTCTTAAAGTATGGTTGAGCAACATTTGTCATCTGTGTACAACTAGCCAGCTTGCTGGGTTGCTTCCCACATAAGTCTGGGCTTGGATTACAAGGCTGTGGCACAGGAACAGAGGGGTTGAGGGGAACCTTCTGCCACTGGGATTCTGTGGAAGAGGACTGTGTGTGTGTGTGTGTGTGTGTG